GCATGTGCCAGCATGCCCAGCTAATTTTTGTGTTTTTAGTAGAAACGGGGTTTCACCATATTGGTCAGGCTGGTCTCGAACTCCTGACCTCAAGTGATCTGCCTGCCTTGGCCTCCCAAAGTGCTGGAATTAGAGGCATGAGCCACTGCGCCCGGCCCTAACTGCTTTTTTCTAAGTTAACCTTCACCCAGTGCTCCTGCCCTAAGCTCCTTTTTTGCCCTCATTTCCAGAGATGTCTAGTCCTACCAAGCCCCAAGTCTTTGAGGAGTTTTGTTTTGCAAACCAGACAGCTTCCGTGCTCTCCTTTGTGCTGGCTTGGGATTTAGCTGTCTTGGATCAGCTGAATAGATCAGCAGCCTCTCCCTCATCTGTTTTCCTGCATCCAGAACGCTGTCTCCCCTCATGTTCTTTCCATCTAGTTGTGCTCGTGCCTTTAAAAACATCCCTTTAGTGCTGTATCTTGAAGTCTTGTGATGCAGAGAAGCCAAATGTGACTTTTAAATGTCACCCTTAACTGGAAGTTTGAATTTGAGTTTTGGTTTTCTCATTAACTGCAGAGGTATTACGCAGTGTGTGTGTGTGTGTGTGTGTGTGTGTGTTTGTGTGTGTGTGATCCTTGCTCTCTCATGCCTGCACACTCTCCTCAATGTCATTTTGTTATTAACTTGTCTTTTTTGCTTTAGCATTATTGACGGTGAATGGATCTCTGATTTCATTTTTTTGAAAAAGTTTGTTTTTTTTAAGGGAAAACAATGAGTGTTCTTTGTTTATGTCTTCCTCAAAGCTGTGTCATTAGGAGCAGTAAAGTTCACAGCTGCTCTCTTTTCTCAGTAGGTTATCTATATTGGGAACTATATCTCTCTGTTCCCCTTTTTTCTTAGCATCTTGAATTCTACTTTATTTGATGTCACTAAATGTGCTTTCTTTTTGCTCACATTTACTTTCTTACCTTTTTTTTTATTCTTTTGCTTTTTAATCTTTTTGTTTATTCCTCTCTCTTTATTAGACCCAGTTCACACTTTCTATTTTAAGGGATAGATGAATCTAACCTATTCATGTTTATTATGAGAAACAAAATGTTTGTACCTTCTTTTGCTCTCTTATTTATTTGTTTTTTACTTGTCTTTCTCTCTCTTTTTTTTTTCCTTTCCCCCATTTTGTCCCATTTGCTCAATTGATCACATTTAATTTTTTACTTTTTTTTTGGTCTTAGGTTTTGGAAGTTATACTTTCCATGTCTATTCTGTTCCATTTCTATACAAAGCCAAGAAACCCACAACAAATAAAGGACCAAGATAACTAGACTTAAAGTGAGTTCCCAACAGTGGAAATAGACCAGGCTGATCAACAAAGAATGTGGCAGGAGTTTTCATGACTCAACATTCCAAGCACAAGCTAAAATCACTAAGGTTTAAAAAACCTGGAAGCCTTTACTTGTGAAACTGTGGGATCTGTCTGCTGGAAACCCTCAGGGACAGGTGCTGGGAAAAGCTGGAGGAACAAGGGCGCACTTTCAGGCTCTGCTGTGACATGCCTTTGCCTGATCTTTCCATCTGAGCTTGCACAAACTGCTTCCTCTTTCTCCGTCTTGAACTGTCTTGTCTGTATGCTCTCTGTCCTCTGCTGACCCTCCTGCCAGCAAGATGGGGAGAGGGGAAGAGATAGGGCTTTGGAGAGAGAACAAGGAATGTGGGCTGGGAGTGATTCTCCTCCTGTGTTGTGAGCTCTGCGCAGCATCAAGTGTGGCTGGATATCCCTCTTCCCGACAGTTACATCTGCTGGTGCAGCCCGTCCTACAGGGGCGTGCTGACCGCCTGGGCCCCCTGTCACTGAGAACAGTGAGCAGAGCATATTTTTCCAGGAACCAGATATTGAGAATTAGTCTATTACATGCAGTTCATGCAATTAAACAGAAATTTGTGAGGCTATTTTGCCGGCAGCTGTGCAAGTTTGAGATCATACTGATAAGCTGAATGAATCAACATTGACCGACATTTGCCTTGAGATTGGGAACCTGGGCAGTGGGGTGCCATAGAAGCCAGGCTTTGTTGGGGGAAATGGGGAGAAGTTTTAATGTCCCAAGAGGCATTGGGAGTGAGTGCCAGCCAGACCCAGAAAGGTCACAAGAGCTCTGAGGGCAAATGCTGGCACCTGCTGGGAGACACTGACCCCTCTCATGATCCAGCGTGCTCCCTGACAATAAATGCCCTGGTCCAGTTTGGATTGGGCTTGAGGGCTGCTATTGTGTGCAGGCTGTTGACTGTGGATGTCCATGCCTCCGTTTTATTAGTTGCTTCCACCAGAGGATGCGGAGGTCTGGAAAACGTGGCAGGGGAGGGAGAGGAGTGTCTGGCTCAGAAATTTCAGGAGAGAGAAGTTCCTTATGGAGCTAGTTGATGGGTGAGGGCTCCCAGGGCCACCTCAAGGCCCACTATAAGGAATACGTGGGGACGCCTGTGGCAGAGGAGGCTCTGTCCATGTGTGGCCTGGGTGGCCTCAGGGTCATGAGAACCCAGGCTCTCCCAGCATCACAAATCCTGCTCCCAGGAGACAGTGCTGTGGGCCTGGCCAGGAGGAGGGTGACAGTAAGGCTCCAGGCAGGGCTCTGAAAGGCTGGGGGCAACTCTGGCAACTCTGTTCACAGTAATCAGAGTGACAGGTCACCAACAGGTCAGCCAGGAAAGCCAAGACACTGTTGAAGGGCCAAGGCTGGTCTACAAAACTGGGAGGCCAGAAGGAAATGACTGTGGGGAACCAGAAGCATGGTGCCCAGCCTAGGGGTGAGCCTGGGGAGCAGTTGGGGGCCAGGTGAGGGCAGGGCTGGGTGGGCTTGTGGGCTCAGATTTGAGTATCCAGTGTGTTAGGATTTGTACCCAGTTATGTGTATGTTATACAATTTAACCCCAGCTCATCCCTGTGATGGAGGTAATATTGTCTCCATTTTACAATTGATACAATCTAAAGTAAAAAAAAAAAAAATGGACCCCCTCCAAGCCATTGTAAACAAATGTGAACCTGAAACAGCCAATCCTTCAAGATGAGTCCCCAGGGGCTAACTGGGCCTAAATTTAAAATAGGGCCAAGTGGACATTGGATGACTAGGGATCACACACGTACTCTGCCTTCCCCTAAAGACCAGACTCCTGTTTAATTTTGGGACTTTCAGAGCTCACCTGAACCAGCCAATCAGAGTTCACCTGAACCAACCAATCAGAACTCACCTTCCAGTGCTCGGCTGTATCAATCCTCAGAACTAAATGAGTCTGAATTCTTCATTTGCATAAACAGACCTGATTGGGAACCTGGGCTGGCATGTTTGCTATAAAACCCTCCCTTATGTTTTCTGGAACACACCTTCACCTTTTACAGGGAAGCTGCGTGTCCCCAGTTTGCAAACTGTTCACTGGAATAAAGTCTCTTTCCTCCATGTTCCATTTCAGAAAACTTTTGTTCACACTGCACAGCTGGCATACTAGGTCTCGTTCAGATCTAGCTGATTCCAGAGTTCCTATCCGGCTCACTTAACTGCTCAGAGTTCTCCTTTCTCATACAGTCAAGAAGGCTGGACAACATAGGGGTTTTCTGAATCCATCTTCTTGATTTTTGTCATACTCATGTTTCATCTGTGCTATTGTTTGTGTAAAAGTTTTCCTGAAGCAGTCTTCTAATTAATTTATTTTTATTGTGGTAATGTATGTGTAACACAAAGTCTACTATTTGAACCACCTTTAAGTATATAGGTAAGTGCCATTAAGCGCATTCACGTTGCTGTGAAACACTTTTTGGTTTTAATGTCAATACACAGTATTTTAGAAAGGAAAACTGATATCTCTACCACAAGTGGGAACCAGAATTACTTTCCATAGAGGTAGCTATTGGAATGAACAGAATGAAGGCAGAAAGTTATTCATGAGCAGTCAGTTCCTGTTGCACTGAAGGCTCTAAGTAAGATGAGGCCTGTTCCCCTTTCACCCCCACGCCCCCATATTTTGTTTAAAAGGAGGATCCAAGTGTTTGAGAAGTGTCAAAGGTAGGCTCACAGGGTTGACACTTCATCCTTGACATGCTCAGAAGAACTGAAAGAGGAGAGAAAGGGACATTTTCTCATGCCCAGCTCCCCCTTCACTCCTTGCCCATCCCAGAGTCCCCTCTCTGCCCCCACACTGTGGGGATGGCTGGGATGTGAACCAGGCCCCTTCCCAGCAAGATTCTGTGACCTGTGACCCCAAACAAGGGGATCTGCCAACTCTGACTTGGACCCGTGACTAGGAGCAGCTTTTGGGACAAGTCCTTTAAGGTTCATTCGCATTTTCTGCCCAAGAGATACCCTTTCTCTCTCTGAAACCCATCACAGGGACTGGATTGCCCAAGTGCTTCTGGCTCAAGTGTCTTGGATGGCAGCACACAGAGTATCTTATTACGATGTTTGCATGGGCTGTTGTGTGACGAGGCTACACTGTGGTGGGTGGGGCTACTAGCTGCTCTGAGGGAGTAAACTTAGTGCAATTTGGATAGAAAGGCAGACATTTAAAGCACCTGCTTAAAATGTAGGTCTCACAGTTCTAGACACAGAAACCCTATGTGGGATAGGCACAAGGGCTTCAGAGTGAGCCAGGTTCCAGTTTGAGGCTAGATGTGTCTGGTGATCCATTTTCCTGCAAGATAGAAGTAATGAAATGTGTGCATGTACATCTTTCTTGGAAGCATGAAGGGGCCAAAAAGACATGGAAGAGTTGTTTTCTTAAGTTGGGCAGGGACGTTCTCTATCAACATTTTAAGGAAACATTTTCATTGCAGAAGTTGTGGACATGTTCCAGTAAAACAGCCTGTGATACCAGGAACATGGGGGATAAGAATGAAAATTACTTTGGAAATCCTGGCAAAACATCACTGTGATGGAGTCAGTGACTCTGTGCCTTCCTCCCTTCTCCTGGGCATGGTCTTCCCTCTTGTGGAGCCCTGCTGTGATGCCCACGGCAGACCGCACATGCACTTCTCACCTGGGGCTTGATCTCATCTTTGTCCTTGTAGTAGAAAAGCTGATCCCCACGCAGCACAAACCAGCGCTGCTGCCAGTTCTTCATGATGCTCCTCTGCTTCTTCAGCCAGCCCGCCTTCAGCACGGGGCCCAGCCTGTGAGGGCATGGCATCCGCCCGGGGCTCCGGCTCTGCTCCCCCATCACCAGGCTCTTGGAGCGGGCTGAAAGCCAAGGACACACACAATGAGCATGAAGGCAGCGTGCCTGCTATCAGTCCTGCCCCCATCCCAGTGTCCTAGCTGCCTCGTGACTGAAGCATGGGAGCCCAGGCCAGCAGGATGTGAGCAGCTGGGCCTACTTCCCCTTGGCATTGAAGGGGCATGGGTTGGAGCATCTGTGCAGCAGCCCGCAGTGATCCCCCTGGGGTAGGGGTACAGCCTGCCCACCTGGTTAGTTTCTGCTCTGTCGCTGGGATCCTGGGTTCTTCATTCCTCTAGGTTTGTTCATCCATGCATCCATGTATCCATCCATGCATCCATCCATGAATCCATGGATTCATCCATCCACTCGTTCATTTGTTCAATGATTAATTTATTCATTCAGCCATTGTTTATTGATTTCTTACTATGTGCACAGAACCGTTCCAGTTTTCCAGGGGACAAAGTAGTGAAATGAAAAACAGATAAACATCTGTATCCTCGTGGAGCTCACAGTCTAGCAGGATTCTTGTTGCTCAGGTCCAGAGGGAGCTGGCCCCACCCAGATCTGGCTTCTGCTTACTCCCTCTCCTGTGGAGGCATCAGACCCCCCAAAGCCTTTGTATTTGTTCTCTGGGACCATCCCAAAGTGGGACCTCTGCTTCAGCTGTTTGCTGTGGCTTGTTGGTGGCTGACTGGGAGGGCAGAGGGGCCAGCACTCCTACCCCAGAGTTTCTGAGCACCCGTGAGCCCTGCAGGTCCTTCTGGTTGATGGTGTTGAGCCACACCCTGCCAAGGTTGGTGCTGCCCTTCACAGGGACGACTGAATTCTTGTCCCCTCTGCCCCTACCCCTTCCCCTTCTGTCCCCCTCCTTCACTCTCCCCTGTCCCCAGGGAAGCTCCTCTCCTCTCTCTGGCCAGTATCAAGGCCATTGCCACAGTGATCAGTAGGAGGGGCCATCTTGAACTCTGGAGAAATAATTCTGACTTCAAATGTAATCACACCTGTAATTCTTAGACCATGGATCCTAACTTGTGATTGGAAAGCACAGTGCCTGTGACCTACAGTTCTTGCACTGTATCTGTGATTCTGTGTATGTGTGTGTGTAAGCTCTTCCCACTACACTAGTGACTGCAGTTCTCTAAGCCTGGCCTACTTCTGCCCACATGTTCCCACTAGCCTGGACTTTTCTTCCATCCCTCTCCCATCCATACCCTGGCATTAGCCACATGGTGAGCTTCTACACATCCTTCAAGAGCCAACTCAAAGGACACATCCTCCATGGAGCCTTCCTTCTGAATCTCCTACAAATAGTCACTCCCTCCCCTACCAGGACAGGTGGCCCATGGCTGGTGATTATCTGTGTGATTGCTTTTCTGCCACTCTGAACTGAAGGGTGGGGACTGGAGGAGATGATGTCTTACCTAGTTCTACATGCATGTCCTCATCACTGTGGGGGGCAGGGAATAGACATAAGTCATGGTGGTCAAATATCACTGGATACTTAGGGTCATCCTTATTGTTAGGTATTTTTTGTATCTTAACCACATTAAATATTACATAGCACTCAGGCAGTGTCTAAGGACACATTATAGCCTGGTGTGTTGGGAGAAAAGCTGAGTGTTGGGAGAGAAGCTGAGGCAGGGCTTGCAACATGTCCAGGGTCCAGGGTCTAAAACCCCTTGTGGCCTTTGCAATATGTCTAGACTTGCTGGCTCCTTGCTTCTAGCACTCCCATTATCTCAAGTAGCCATATGTTTCAAAGAAAATGCTAAACCATCACAGTTGTAGCTCATTCACTTGATATACTGCTTCCTTTCAACCCCCACCTCCTTACCACCTGTTTCTTTGTTTGATCAGCAATAAATAGTGTGGGCTCCCAGAGTTCTGGGCCTTCACAGCCTCCATACTAGCGTTGGCCCCCTGGTCCCACTTTCTCTCTCAACTTGTCTTTTCTCATTCCTTTGACTCTGCCGGACTTCGTAGCCCCCACGGCCTGGTGTTGAGTCCAATCACCCCAACACTGGTGTTCACACCTTCACCTCAAGTGTCATAGAGCCTGGGGTATAATACTGAATCCATCACTTTTACATGGGCCCCTGCTCTGGAAGGGGTTGGCTCATGGACAACAGCGGCATTCATGGGAGGCCTCATCTCTTCTCTCTGGCACCCAAGTAGCTGTGAAATAGATCTATGGGTACCACTAGCCAGCCTGGTGTCAGACCGTCTACGTCCTCACCCACTCTGCCTTGATTCCCTGTTGCCATCCCTCTGCTGCTGGAGAGGTTAGGGTTGAATGCTCTAGCCTTGCCTTGGCTGTGTTTTGGCCCAGAGAGGAAGTGGGTTGTTTGCATGCTTGCTCCTGCCCACTGAAGCTGGATTGGTGATTCCTCAGGACAGTGTTTTTTTTCCAGAGACTAAAGGGAAGGCAATTCAGGGAGCTGAATGTGGATCACATGGCCCAGGCCTTTCAAGGAAAACAGCCCCCTCTGAAGCCCAACAGTGCCCTGAACCTGGGCTTGAGCTTCACCTTATCTGTGTTTCAGAATGATCGGCACTTTTGTTCCCTCCCCTCTGTGGGGTTGATCCCCACGCTTGTTCATGTGGATTTAGAGTGTGCTTCCCTCCTTTATTTCTATGACTGGTTACTATCCCTGCAAATGGACACACCACACATTGCCTTTAGATTTTCACATTGATGGGTATTGGCATTCTCCTCAATGTGAGGTATTTAATTAAAAAGATGTTGGAACCCAACTGAAGAAATACAGGCTTTGGACTAAGGCTTGGTTTGCATCACTGCCAGCTCTGTGAACCCTCTGTGCCTCAGTTTTCCAGTCAGAAAACTGGGCCCATATGAGATGACAACACCTCACCCAGCAGGACAAGCTGGCAAAGGGGAGACACCATAACTGCAGAGTGCTTAGATGTACGGGTGCCTAGCAACGGGTTACTATGGTGATGAGGATTAGGATAATGGAGATGGTGCAGTGGATGTCTCCATGCAGAATTTGTGTCCTAAAGCTGGGCTCCCAGCAGCGAGGTCACAGAGCAGAGAATGGACCGCTCTCTGGGCCCTGGCCCTTTAAATGCCACTACACACTGCCTTCTAGAGATGGCGTGTGGCTATATTCCACCACACAATTATGCCAGTGTGCCACTTTCCCCATCACCACCAACATGAAATAGTATAATTTGAGCTTTCCTACTCCATAATTTAGTAGGTATAAAATGACACGTAGTTATTATCTTAGCTGTTCTGATTAATCAGCTGGAACATCTTTGCATCGGCTTTTACTAATTGTATGAGACATCTGCTCACTCCCTTTGCCTATTTAGCTGATTGCCCACAGCAGGAGGAGCACCAGGTCAAACTCAGTGGCATAAAAACCCGGAGTCCTGGAGGCCCAGAGCTACCGGGCCCCCTTTTTCTCTCCACAGGAGCCCCAGTCCTTTCCTGCAAGTCTTCCTACAGCCTGGAATTTCCAGACACCTGTATTTCCAGACACTTGTAGCACCCTATCCTGCATCTGTGCTGCACAGCCCTGGCTGCTCTGCAACCTCAGCAGCCCTGTGTGGAGGACAAAGACTTGGAAGAAACCACCCTGCCCAGATGAGGGTGAGCTGAGCCTCTGATGAGACAGGTGGGGTTGTGTCAGAAGTGCCAGAACAGCATCAGAAGGGGCCTTTCTGCTCCAGGGCTGCCCCCTCCCCTTCTCCATCTCAAGCCAGTGAAGGGCTGAGCAGGGCTGGATTCAGCAGCACTCACCAGTCCCTTTCCAGGGTGGGGGCTGCATTGGGCCCTGTGAGGTGGAGCTGACAAGGATTATCAGGACTGCTGGGCTTGAGTGGAGCCTGGCCAGGGGACTGAGGAGGACAGGGACAGGTGTGCCCCTCTGGTTACTGAGTTTTCTTATCTGGGTCTCAACTTGCTCATCTTTAAAATTCCTTTAATGAGTTGAGAATTGCTGGCCAAATTAGGTCACCAGTGCCTGGGCTTTTGTTGTTTAATTACGTGAGATTCCTACCATGAGACTCGACAGATGTTGTTTCCCCTGGCGGTGAGGAGTCTCTGGAGCAGGTGGGTTGGCTCAGGCCTCCACTGTCTATTCTTGAATTTTCCTTTATCTCTTATCACAGAATCTTCAAGGGCTATGGAGAACCTTTTGTCCTTCCACAGATATTTGCAGAGCACTCTTTGGGGTCTTCAAGAGGGACTGAAGTCATGGAATGTTCTAGAGCTACATCCCTGATTCTGTCTCTTGTCTTCTATTATGACAGGGCCTGAAGCTGGCTCATTAAATGCACCTGCTCTTCCTTCCGCATCCCCCATAGCATCCTGTGCAGGGCTGTCGCACGTTAGGAGCTCAAAAAAAAAAAACTCGGTGACTTATCAGCACAGTCCAACTCCTCTGAGCGCTGCTGCACCCTCTGTCCCGGCGGTGGACAATGTCTGTGAGGTGCTCTCTGTCCAGCCATGCCTGCCCCAAGAAGGGTGAGCTCCCTGTGCATAGGACCATGGATGCTGAGCCTGGCCAAGAGCAGGACCTTGTGCTATCAATATGTGGCTGACTGCAGGACTGGCCTGTAGTCAATGTGGCAAGACAAAGAAGGTGGGCACATTCTGTGCCCTGATGCCCAAGGCCCAGGCATCAGACCTCCTGAGAGCTTCAGGTAAGGAGGGAGCAGCTACAGGGGGCCATGTTCACTGGGGCAAGGGAGCCGGTAGGCAGTAAGCTCTGGGTGGTCTCTATTTCAGCAGATGCAGGCATCCTCGAGGGTCCCACCTGCCCCACCCTGGAGGAGAGGAAAGGCTGGCTCCAGCCCCTCTGACAGGGAGGCACTTACTGCAGATGCTACTGAAGTTGCCAAACCAGCCTGGGATTTTCCCCAGCTGATCAATCATATTAGGCTGATGGAGCTTCTCGAAAGGAAAATAATCATTGCTATGATTTATTAATAACCACTGTTCCTGTCATCAGCACTTCCTTTAATCAATTTATTTGGTCCTGTTAGTATTTAA